AACAATGCCTCTTCACAAAACGTTATTGACTTTCCTCTTTTAAATCAATATTTGAAAGAGTCTGGGTGGGAGTTTGAGGACATTTCAACGATAAATACCATGTCTACCCTAATTGTTGGTCATTTGAACGTACTGGGTGATAAATTGGCTTTGTACTTTTCCTAAGATAATAACAGACGCCTGGAAGAAAACTCGTGGATAGTGCAGCCATTTACTAGTGAACCAACAGAAGACGAAGAATTGTTGAAACTCCGGGAGGATTTGAATCAAAAAAATTTATTCCGCGAAATGGATTACTTGGGAGTTTTGGGTTTCTCTTTTTAAATTTTGCCGATCACAAAAATCTGGCAGAAAAGGCCGTTGCTCTTCTGGTACAGATGCCTACGACTTATTTGTGTGAAGAAGGGGTTTCCAGTCTTGTTGAAATCAAGTCGAAAAAGAAAAACTCAATACTTGATATTGATTCACTAATGCGGGGAGCAATTGAAAAGGAACTAAAACCCTGTTATGAACGAATTGCCGAAACTATACAAGAACAAAGAAGCCACTGGAACTATATTAACATGGTCTTTACTTTTTTTACACATCTGGATGTTAAATTAATTGCATATGTGAGTAAAAACTAAAAGAAGCATTCATAATCACTCGCCCCGCCACCTAGATTTTAGTCAATGGTTTCTTTATAAACAAAGATAAGGTCTTACTAAGACTTGGCTCATAAAAACGAAATGGTTTTCTTCATCCAAGTACTGTTAAAAGTCACATTCAATGAGACGCATGGCGCCGTTCTATGATGAATGCATTACCTGAAGAAGTATTGGACTGAACACATCTTATTCTTTTCCAAATTCATACGTTTCTAAGTGTAGTTTCTTAAGAGATCACTTTTGCGTATCGGTATTAGTTGGCATTATGTTGAAGATGCCAAAGAACATTGATATAAATCACGCGAAGGGTTTACTCTATAACAGGGGTAGCCAGCCTGCTTTCGTCCGCGATCGACTAAAATCATCAAAATAGCTCGCGATCGACTGATTGGTAATAAGATCATATACAAAAAACGAATGGGTACTGAATATGCTTAGATAACTGCAGACACGCAAACAAAATACAGCACTGCCAATAAGTTCAGTCCCGTGGGCACATTCTCAATTAAAACGCCACAAAAATTTGTATTTTTTATGTTCCATTTAATTTGATTATGTAATAGTAGCCGGGGTAAATGTTTTCATCATCTATTTATTCAAATCACACAATTCAGACCTAACACCTGCCTATTTTTTGCCCGAGTGTCGTAAATTTCTCAAAAAGCCTTGCCAAGTATTAGCGAACTATATAAATGGAGAAAAATAAATGGCTGATTATACGGCTGATTTGTATTCATGCCCTTGTTATTCTTATTGTATAATACTGGGTGTCCTATTTATTAGTGTCGGAGACAGTGCAATGAGGCTTGGTCACATGAGTATCTTTGTTATCTGGAGACACAAATATATTGTAACCACCATACTCACGTATTTACGCATCCATATATTTACATCATACGTTATACACATATATATATCCATGATCCACTGTGCTATACTGCCGTTATACCGGTACTTGCTGTGGAAATTTATCCACTGTGGAACTTTTACCTGATTGTGGAATTTTACTGGACTGTGTCTTGTATATACTGTAAATATACTTTCATTACAAGTTCTTTCATACAAGTTGGATGTGTTTATGTGTGCGTTACCACTGTGTCGAGAGTTAGCTACGGAAGTAGATTGACAAGACATCCTAATAAGCAGAAATAGGACCTCTTAACTCTACAAAATTTGCTAAAAGCTTGCTTTGCTAAATTCTTGTTGTTCCATTACTTTAAGATGGCTGAACCCACGGAAATACATGCTATCATGTTGTAAATATACTTTCATTACAAGTTCTTTCATACAAGTTGGATGTGTTTATGTGTGCGTTACCACTGTGTCGAGAGTTAGCTACGGAAGTAGATTGACAAGACATCCTAATAAGCAGAAATAGGACCTCTTAACTCTACAAAATTTGCTAAAAGCTTGCTTTGCTAAATTCTTGTTGTTCCATTACTTTAAGATGGCTGAACCAACTGAAATACATGCTATTTATTACCTCTTTTCCAATTGCCTCTTAGCACAAATAGTCCTGATATTTCACCCAAACTTTGGCTCTTTTATCTCAATTAAACGGGATCGCCTTTTCTATTTTTTTTCACTCCGATCGATGCACTTACGGTACCATACTGATGAGCGATCTTCTCCATTTATTTCAACATTGTTGTACAATGGTCCGCAAGCTGCTGCCCGCGCCCAAATACAACTTGCGAACAAATTTTTTCTGGTCCCCAATGATCTCACTTTTAGTCCATGAAACAGTCCGATATGGGCTGTTGTAAAGCGTTTGGATTAGTTTGTGCGATATTCAATATTCCTATAAACACTAAAAACGATATTCGAAGTTGACGATATTTCGACATTAAATTCGAATTAGTTAGCCTGAATGATACCTTGACTAATTTCAGGTTGCATTTGCTATGGTGTCATAATATCCGTTTCGAAAGTAAGCACCGTTTCGACATATCAGTTTTTCAAAACGCCCAGCCCTCCGATGTGTGATATGTGGAAACACGTTCACTCAGCAAACACCTCAAAGTATTTGAAATAAAAAGAGTTCCGTTCCGGGTCTGATCAGGAATAACTTGATTATAGCGCAAAGTGTGGCAACTACAGATTGTGATTATTCTGGCCAGTCTTACCCCAATGTCGTACAAAATTCAACAAGATAAATAAAAACGTAAGATAAGATGTCTTGTACCAGGGCATGATATTAGAGCCCTCGCGTTCACAAAGTCTGGCTAGCACCATGAAAGATAAAACTTTGAGCCTTGACGTTTTTATCTTAGGTAACGATATTTAATTTACAACCTCATCTCTCACGCTTCCGCTGTGGCCTTTGTTACCCATTTTCTGGATAGATATTCTAGATAAAAATACATATATTAGCTGAACACGTTTATTATATACAGTGTCCAGATGAAATAATTTTAGATACCAGTAACTAAAATGAAAAAGGTTAAACAAAGTCATTATAAGAATGAGGCAATTACGCCCACGGGCACTTTATTAAATAAAACGATTGGGATAAAATAAACAATCAATAAAATACAGTAGTGGAGCAAGGAACCGTATGTACATATATATTGATTGGTTCACAACCATTGTATGCGGAGTTATCTTCATAACTTTGAGGACCAGCGTTTCATAAATTGTTCGATTGGAGTAAGGAAGACGTGCGACATGATGCGTATTAGGACGAATATGATATTGCCAAACTGTAGAAGGAAGATATAGATATCAAGTTTACTACAACTTCGAGACGTAAAGAATCATAAGTACCATGTCAAGGAACCCACACGCCCTCTTCTATATCTTTGCACAGCTAGAATTGTTGCAAATATCACACCATAGCTTGATGACGATGAAAAAAGTCAGGTATTCAGAGCAGTGATTCTCAAACTAGAGTTTGAGAGCCGCATGCGTGAATCCTGAATGTTGATTTAAAATAGCGATTAAATAAGTTGGCAATAAAGGCATTTCTAGACCTAATTATAACTAATTCCTTCAAGTTTTAACGTTTTTTTATTAACAAAACAACACCCCGATAGTTATTATAGCTAAAATAATGAGTAGTGCTCAATTTTCTTTACGGAATTCGCAAATTCAGCACTTCACTTAATGATTTTGATTATGTCATGCCTTTGATTATGTCATGGCTAATTATTACTGCCCAAATGCTTCGAAGTTTAACGATTGTAATCATTTTCGAAGATAATAGACGCAACAATTCGTGAACGAGTCAGTGTGCATTGTTACAACAAAATTCACGATTGATTTTACGTTCTACTCTTGGCTCAACGGCCATGCATGGTCAAGTAAAATGTTTACATATTCGAAACATTATTTGTCCAAGGATGGGAGTGATCACATCACCTCTGGAAAAACTCTTGGTCATTTATAAATCCATGCTATTTATATAACTAGATTTTTCTAACGACCTAAAATCGCCTTTTTCACAATGAAACGCCGAAAAGTCATTTTAACATTTAATTCTAATCAACTTTATGTTCGGTAATGCAAGAAATGGCTAATGACATGTCACCAAGCATGCGGTGTTTGAAATCTGGGAAATATATTTTAAATACCACATCTGGTTTGACGTTTCTAAATTTACGGAACGATTAGTACGTTTTTTTGCAAGATAGGGAATTGAAAAGATACGTTAAGTGCAAAGATAAGCATATAACGGGAAGATAACGACTTTTCGAATTTGTCGTTTTTTTTTTGATAGCGAGCGCCGTTGGGAGATCTCGCACAATTCACGATTGAGTTGAAGACGCGAGAGTTCGGTGTCGAAGCAGAGCGGCGCAGGTCACGTAGAACCGGATATTCGAATAGTGCAATGTCATTCGAATATTTTGCCCATCCCTAGTTGTTACGTTTGTTGTTTTTACGATGACTTGGTATTTTAAAAACGCGCTTAAGGTTTGTTGCTATTTTACCTTGCGTTGTTTGTGTGCGGCTCTTCATAACTTTGAGGTTTGAAATGTTTCAAATATCATGCTTCGAATTTAAGCGTTTTCGGTTAGCGGTCGTAATACATGGATTCAAAAATTGAAAGCAATCTCATCGATTCTCATTTAGGCTACAATGGAATAACACAATTGTACCCTATCCTGGAATCGCATTCTGATCTAAGAAATCTTTCATTCATTCAATAGTAGATAGTATTTATAAAGCTTTGTTTTGCTCGTGTCCATCTGAAATTTTGTATTATTTATTATAATTCATCAATTTTTGAGTTGAATATTCAATGGTAAAAAAATTCACGACACCTCCTTTTGATTACAGAACAGCAGGAAGGTAAAATAAAAATTGCATTAGTGCAACATTTATATACAGATTGGTAAACTTAGAAGCCACCAAATGGCAGAGGCTCGAGAGAAAACATTCAAACGTGAGATATGTGGCAAAGGATTTACTCACAAAAGGCAGCTCAAGAATCATTTTAAATCACACTTCCCTGATGAGCCAGAAAATCAAAAACAGAAGTGTGAAATTTGTGGAAAGATGCTCAGCAGTGTGCAAAGAAAAACTGTACATATGAAACAACATACGGGAGAAAGACCATACAAATGTGATGTATGTGGAAAAAGCTATTGTGATAAAGGTGCCTTGAAAAAGCACATTATTCGACATTCTAAAAAATTCACGTGTGAAATATGTGACAGACCATTTGGATGTCGTTCTGCATTAACAGATCACATGCCACTCATACCAACGAAAAATATTTTGAATGCACTATTTGTCAAGTGTTATTTTCTAGGAAAAACAATTTATATCGGCATATGAGGAGACATACAAATGATGCCCAATTGAGATGTGAAATATGCGGTGTCACCAAATTGGAACAATCTGATTTGAATATTCATATGCGTACCCATACAGGTCAAAAACCATATATGTGAAGTATGTGGAAAAGCATTCAGCCAACACGGTAATCGAGATATTCATTGTAAACAGTACATTCGAACAAAAAGCCCATTTGTGAGATTTGCGGAAAGAGGTTTTCCATACAAGAATATGTCAAAAGACACATGAAACGGACTCATTTGAAAAGTATCTCAAATATGGACAAAACTGAGCAGGAAAAACTGATTACGTGCCTTCAGAAAACAACGTTCCCTCTTCTCAATTAAATAAATGAAAAAGAAAACGAAGAGATATCGCAAGATAAGCTGCAACGCGTCTACCTGTATATCCTGACGAAAAGTAGATTTACCCCAAAATCAGATCTTAAGAGGTGATATACCAGGAAGAAGCTGGCATTATCAAGTATGACCCACAGACACCAAGGATGGTGTGTGAACACCTCTGGGCATTCTGAACTTTTGTCGCACTGGTTCATTTGAAAGCAGTAGTGATTGAAGCATACTTTGTTTCATGTTATGATGATCGCAAAACCGCAGTCGGATGGTTGTTTTCAGAAGATCATTCAGGATTTGTAGAAAAGAAGTTGTTTATGATGGAGCGTAATCAATCGTGGATAATCAACAAAGACACTCCTGTCGGTTCGTATAACCACGCCAATGTCGTTTATAATTATTGTATGCCATTCTGCTTAGTATTCATATTGCACAGATATAATTGGCTCCTTGTTTATCTATTTTATCGCGTTTTATCACTGGTTTATCGCGTCTATCTTCACACTGAAACGTATTTTTTTATATATTTCGTAATTATATTTGTCCATTGTGTACTTTCGGTACATGATAAAATAAATTACTGACTCACTTTTACTGAGTTTATTTTGGTCTGGCGAGTGTGCCGTCTTGTACAATGTGCTGAAACGCGAATTTCCTTGTACCTAATGGTGTCCGATGCAGCAGATAAATTACCTGAGACTTGAAATGCTACCAAAAATACTTCGTTTCAATGCTTTATTTGATGGGTCGTGTAATGTTAATCCTCGCCAAATTTATTTGCGGTGCATCGTACAGGAGAGCAATGCTCAAATATATGCACACGCAGGTCAAAGCAAAGTAGTATGGGTAATCAATGTACGCCTTGTACGGCAGTATTCACGACTTCGACTGACCACCAGATATCAACTTACGCGAAAAAGGAACCGCCACAAGTTGCGTAATTTTTAATGTAAATACCGTTATCGCACACAAAAAACAAATCTCATAGAGATCTCATTCATTTTTGAAATAATATTGGCTTTTAGCAAAAACACGATCTTTCACCACTGAAAATTTCAAAGCAATCAGTCCTATATTTAATGAGAAAGCGAAGTTTCACTAAAAAAAAAATATCATCAACAACAAAATGTTCAACAACAACATAATACCAGAACGATGCACACACAATACAAAATAAACAGAGAACTTGGTGAACCACCATATCATAATTAAAGAGTGTTGTTCGTAACAAACTCTAATACCTTTTGTATGCTTTGCGCTGGTTCATCCGTTTATTTCATACATAGCCGGTAAAATTGAGGCTGTGGCTTCTACGTGGCGCGACATGAAAGTGTTTTTACCACTCCTTCTCTTTCCATATAAATATTGGTTTATCTTCAAATACAGGGTATATCTGGTACGTATCATTGGTACTGGCCTTGTTCAAAGTCTGTGGTGCTACTACTGCAATTATTATTAATCAATCCCAAAAATAAAACCAATTAATTATGCCTTAACGCAATGTAAATCTAATTTTTTCCCGTTCCCTATTGATCGATAAACCGAAGAATAGGAAGCGCGTCAAATGATCAGTCCAATCAACGGTCCAATCGATAAAACAAACCGAAATAATGCTTGAAGACTTAAAAAACCACTGAAGCGTGTAATAATATCAAGGATCAGCGCGGTGCCGTGTAAATTGTCCAGTTGAGATCGTTGACAAAGCGTTTCTCAGTGCTGCGATCAGGTGATAGGTTAGAATTAGATATGTACCACCAACGACAGTGAATCAAAAAGACGGCGTGTATGGCGAGTTGTTTCGATACCAGCGCTGACCATAACAAAACATACGTAGTCGGTAAGGATAGTCTATATGAAGTTTCGAATATCTTTGAATTCCACGCATTCGCTATAGTACGTCGAGAATTAAAATCCGCGGAAGAAAATACTTTGGAACGAGTCGTCTTATATCTCGATTATCCACAAACTGGGTAATCTTCAGAATTTTAGTGAACGTTTTTTAATCATTAGTCGCAGCCTATGAATTACGCGTGAATGCTGACGAGACGCGCAGCGCTCGAAATGAACTTCGGCAACGTCAACAATTTTGCCTGGATATCGAGAGACTTCTTTAATGCGGCCCTCAAATATCATCGTAGGCTCTGGATATCGAGAGACTTCTTTAATGCGGCCCTCAAATATCATCGTAGGCCCTGTGCATCTACCGGCTTGTTATTATTTGTTAAACAGGATAGTGCGTTTTCAATACAGCAATACCAAACAAGGTTCTATTACATTGATTCCGATACTGACTGAGAGATTGTGATTCCTGGCGGACAATTGCCACCATGCAGCTTAGATAATGCTTGAAATATAACGATTTATGGGAAGTTTCTAATTATAGAAGACCTTTTATAGTAAACTCAAACTGTATCCATAAGACACCCCAACCGATGGTTCCTTTCTTATTAGATTATCGAAGGGTCAGCTGCGATGGTTCCTTTCTTATTAAGTTATCGAAGGGTCAGCTGTTTTTAAATAGGATTTCTGGGAAATTTATATAACAGATCCGATTACTCTTATATATCTTATTTGGCCTAATTTTTTACCCCACTTTTATTTGTAAATATCTTAAGAGGATTGAGGAGATTTTATTTGGTATACTTATATACATTGTAGTCGGCTTGTTTTAATTCGATGTTTTGATGAAATACTTCCAGATACCAGTAACTAAAATGAATAAAAATAAACAAGGTGAGTTGCACAAATGTGGTGATTGCGATAAAAGTTTTCGTTTAATTAGTCAACTCAGAAAACACCAAAACACACACACTGAAGAACGACCACATAAGTGTGAAATATGTAGCAAGGTGTTTACTATGAATGGTAATTTGAGACGCCATTTGCGATTGCATATTCCTGATGAGCAGAGTAAGTTGCACGAATGCGATATTTGTGGTAAACGATTTCGTCGGAGTGGTCAACTCAGAGACCATCAAGTGACACACAGTGGAGAACGACCACATAAGTGTGAAATTTGTGGCAAGGGATATACACAGAACAGTCATTTGACAAACCATTTACGATTGCACTTTCCGGATAACCCACAAAATAAACAGAAATGTGAAATTTGCGGGAAAGTACTCAGCGATGTGTGGAATAAAACTATTCATATGAGACAACATACAGGAGAAACACCATATAAATGCGAAGAATGTGGAAAGGGCTTTTGCCACAGTAGTAAATTGAGAAAACATATGATTCGACATATGAAGACATTTGTGTGTGAAATTTGTGGACGGTCTTTCGTTTGTAAGTCACACCATTCTGACCATATTCTCACTCATACAAAGGAAAAACGATTTAAATGTACCATTTGCGATAAGTTTTTTGCACGCAAAAGTAATTTAAAGTTGCATATGAGAAGACATACTGATGAATATCAATTCAAATGTGAAATATGTGGCGCCATTAAGGTGCAGCAATGCGAACTGAATATTCATATGCGTACACACACAGGAGAAAAACCGTTTAACTGTAAATTGTGTGCGAGATCATTTAGTCAACAAAGCAGTCTGAACACTCATTTGCAATCGGTACATTCCAAGAAAAAGTCTTATGAATGTGAGATATGTGGGAAGAGATTCGCCGTACAAACATATGTCAACGTTCATATAAAGGAAACTCATTTGAAATGCAAAAATATATCAAATACAGACAAAGTTGGACAGGAACCAACTAATCACGTGTATTCGGAATGCACCGTTGATCCTAATAAGTTTGATCAAAACGAAAAGATAATACAGAATGAATTACAAACGCCCCAAGTAATTGATATCAAAGAAGAGTTGCATTCGGGATCTGATCACGAATAACTTCCTGTGATAGAACTTCCCTCGAGAACAGTAATTTTTGACTCACAACTGGGGTACCGGTATTTGAAGTAGAGCCTGGGTCGACTAATAAAATTTGAAATTTTCTTCTTGGTTGGAGTTGATAGTCGTTTTCCACCACGAATCCTACTTTTGGAACATTCAACAGCACGATTTTAACTCAACCAACCTAGACGGCAAAATTTTTTTTTTTTCTGTGTATATAAAATATTTTTTCATTATTGATTAGAAATGAATCTTAAATTGAAACGAATAATAAATGATGTGTTTATGAATATTGTCAATAACGGTCGGAGTGATAAACATGAATTTTGTGAGAACTATAATTTGTAATGTGGCTGTTAATCGGAGATGAATACCGGTATGAAAATTGTGTTTTAACGTTATACTTTGCGTTAGTTCATCATTCCTTACAATCAGGGGAAAAAATTTGATCACATTAAACTTATTCCTAAACAAACGCTCAACACAACGGAGACTGTAAATTTAGATGTTTGTTAAAATATTTGTATCTGACGTGCTGAGATAAATGAAGGGGAATTCCCAGCTAGGGATGTCCGTATCCGAATACCAAACCACCCTAGAATAACAGTAAAAACATTTCGAATATCGTGTGATCCAAATTAACAGAACCAAAACAAAAAAATTATTTTTTTGAATCAAATAAAACAAACGTTTGCCATTGTAATAACAAAGTTGCTGGATTGAAGCCAATCAAGATACTTTCCAAATAATTTATAGAGGTCATGAAACAGAAATTGCAATCCTTTGAAAT